TGTCACGTGTTGAAGTGTACCTGAGCAAGACACTGAACCCCCTGGCGCTTGTCGTTGGCAGCCCACTGCTCCCTATATACAAGGATGGGTCAAATGCAGAGACAAATTTCCCCCTTAAAGGGATCAATATAGTATAATAAATTAAAATCATGGCTTCATTTGCAAACATGAAGGATGGCTGAAAGGCATTGATGCTACCCTTTAATGTTTTGGTTTGGTTTTATTACCAGTTCTTTGTATTAACATGAATGTTTAAGATGCTTTTTACAGAATGGTTTGTGTGTGTATATAAAGTTTTAAACCAAAAACTAATGTACAGTCCATGGTTGTATGAATAAACAGTTTGATCCCATTTGAGTTGTGTGCATATATTTGACATTTTAAAAGATAATTTTGCAATTCAAGAAAGTTGCAGTTTGTCATTGTACCATTACAATTTGTTCAACGTACGTCACCAATACCAATATGGCCGTTGCCTTGACTAACTAGCTAGCTTGGTAACTTAGCTATGTTCCATTCACAAATGTAACGTTATCTTAACTGACGTGTCTTATCCAAAGAGGATTCTAAATTTTTGTCCAGGCCATTTTCATTAGTTTTTTTAAATGATTCTGTTGAACCACAATTCAAAAGCAATGTGTGATTTTCATTAGTTCATTTTCAGTAAGTCTTTATTTATTATTACTTTTGTCAGTTTCAAGTTATTTCAGTGACCATTGTGGGGTTTTCTTTCGTGTGTATCTGCTGAGCAAAGGATTAGCTAGAAAAGCATAGTAGCTAGCATACTGCAAAATGCAAACGGGATGTATTGGGGCATACTACATCATTTTCTGGCATACTAAATAGTATGGTAGTGTGGGTATTGGAACTCACACCATGTAGTGCCACAAGCGAGTGGAGCTAACTACAGTCAGACTCTGAATAAGGCTTTTTCAGGTGACCAAAACTGTTTCAATTAACCTTCAATCAACTTAAAACACACTGTGAAAGGGTTAAAGCTCAAAGGCGAACAGGTGATCCACTCAATGACAGGATAATTATGTGCTAAAGGTTATTCCTTTGACTACTCTGCACATTTGCAACAGTGAGCTTTCTGGTTTTTGCATCTCAGTAGGTAAGTGATTTGGATGGTTTTAATGGAAAAATTGGATTTGGTTGATTTAGTTTTTTTAATGCCCACAAGTGTCAGTTTTGTTTCTCATCAGTTGTTGGGGTGAAACAGCTTACCCCAAATGATCATTATCTTTCATCCGTGCGATTGGACAAAACTTTGATTTTAATTACTTTTTACATCCAGAAATATATGTTCCGTGAACACACTTTCATGATATATGTAAGATTAGTTTATTGCATTTCTGTGTCAGCTGCCATGTACAAAATACATAAATCTCATACAAGGAAAGGAGTTGTGTTGTACCACATTTAGCTTCTAGCTCATTTACACAAATTGTAATTTATTTTGTGTTTAATGTGACATTAACAAACAAATTAAAGTGTATATGCTGCATGTGTTGTTTGCCTAAATAGAATAGATATGAATAGTTACAATGATACTGTATTTATTAGGGATAATAGATAAACAGAGGACTTTTTAGATTGTTAGAATAGCTTCAAGACGCATTTTGTAAAAGCAAAGTTGGGTTGTTCTGAGGACATGAACCAGCATTTGAAATCTCTGCCTGTGGCTACATATTAACTCGTGTTGAACTTTGATTTTGGTACATTTTGAGGTTTGTGCCACAGATCCAACGTTTAGAGAACTAGAGGGCAGATAGGATTCCACTGATTGAAAGAATAAACATGAACCTCTTATTTGCATTTTTCAGACAGCTATAGTCATTATTGTGTGATGTGTATGTTTATGTATTTCCATATTTGTAGTGTATTATGGGTTTTATGATACTGAAAGCTGTAACAGCCCAACTAGGTACAAGGGTTGTGGATAAACTCTGTGCAGCGCTACATCGTCCTTGTCTGATGCGAGTGTCCAAGGACAGAGGATGTTGTCAGCTGTACCGATTGTAAAACCCTCTGAGGCAAATTTGTGATTTTGGGCTATGCAAATGAATTGAATTGAATCCTAATCAACCCGCTTAAGTAGGAAACAAAAGTAGGAAAAGCCCTTGGTCCACTTCCTGTTGTGTGCAGCCCCATGAATGCATCTTATCAGGTTTACAGGTGAAACATTTTTCAGTCTGATCTGGTTTAAATCCTTCACAGAGCTGAAGTATGACTCGTCGTGTGGCGGTGATTGGAGGAGGTAGCTCAGGTCTGGCCTGCATCAAGTGCTGTCTGGATGAGGGGCTGGAGCCCGTCTGCTTCGAAAGCAGCAATGACATCGGTGGTCTGTGGAGGTTCAAGGTGGGTCTCACTACGTGCAGGATCTCATAATTCCACAGTTTGTTTAACAAGTTAGGATGGTCATTGGTCTGGGGACTCTATTGCAGGAGAATGCAGAGCCAGACAGGGCCAGCATCTACCACTCTGTCATCATCAACACCTCCAAGGAGATGATGTGTTTCAGTGACTTTCCCATCCCTGCACACTACCCCAACTACATGCACAACTCCCTCATCATGGACTACTTTCGGTTGTTTGCTGACCGCTTCCAGCTCACCAAGCACATACGCTTCAATGTGAGGATGCTTCACTCTCTGCCTTTCTAGAGTTTGATTTCTCTGTACCTGAAAGCATGCAACATTCTCACCTTGGCCTCAAATGTAAAATTTTTTAGTGCAACACAAAAAAAACAGTTAAAAAGATCATCATCTTAGCTCTTTGTGCTGTTATCAGCCAATTTATCTGTTTGTGCCTCTCTGTCCTTCAGACCAAAGTCTTGCAGGTGAAGCAGAGATCAGATTTTTCTCGTTCGGGCCAGTGGGATGTTGAGACGGAGAACAAGGACGGCGAAAAGGAGAAACACATCTTTCACGCTGTGATGATCTGTATCGGACATCACTGCCACCCCAACCTGCCGCTGCACGACTTCCCAGGTACCATTTATGGGCTGTAAATATCCCTCAATTTACTCAAGGACAGGTAGTGCTGATAGCGCTCCAGCAATATGAAGAGGAAAACCTTTGACACAGTCTGAATAGCCTCTAATGGCAACCCTGTACAATGTGATTATGTAATACTTTATCAACAGAAAGCAGCAATTGATAGGTTCAGTATAATGTACTCAACCATGGCCTAGATTACATTCTAAGGGCAAAGCTGCAATGTCAATCAAGTACAGATTAAAATCCTCTTTTAGCAAAAATGAATGACGCTTTGTCCATTGTCTTTTTTTTTTTTTTTCCAGGAATCGACACTTTCAAGGGAAAGTTCTTCCACAGCCGAGACTACAAGACTCCAGAGGAGTGGAGACATAAAAAGGTGGTCGTGATCGGAATAGGAAACTCTGGAGGAGACATCGCGGTGGAACTGAGCAGAGTCACCAAGCAGGTTCGGATGAGTCCCATTACAGACAAATAAAACAAGGTGTTGAATAAATCCACAGTGTAGCCATGAACCCAATAATCCGAAAGTTAAATCGAACATGAATGCACCCAATATAACCATGAATTCATTGTACAACTGCAGTAAGTACCGTAAATATAAAAGATATAAAATATATTTTTGGTTATGTTAACAGAGCCACATAAATTAGTCCACTTTTTAAATCCTACCTTTCTGTATATTATTTTAAATACTAAGATTTTGCAAACTATTGATATTAGTCAAAGATTTCTCTCGTACCATCAGAATGACTGACTACTGTGTCTTCCCTTTCTCAGCTTTATCTGAGCACTCGGAGAGGAGCCTGGATTCTGAACCGAGTCGGGGACAACGGGCTGCCCCTTGATCTGGTTTTCAACAGGCTGTTTGATTCTGTGAAGAGCATCCTTCCCTTTAATCTGTTCAGTAGTCTAGGAGAGAGCCAGCTCAACCGAAGATTTGATCACACTCTGTACAATCTTAAGCCAAAGCACAGGTACTGCATTTGCATCTGCTTCTTTTTCACAATTGTATATATATATATATTACAGTGATAGCATAGCTTGACTCTGCAGATGGGATGCGTCCAAAATTCCACACTAACATGCTATCGAGTACGCTAAAAGCAATATGTGAGATTTTTTTCATGTCGGAAACTTCAGTGTGAAACCAATAGTACGCAAATCGCATACGATTTCCAGTGAAATATTACAGTATGCAAACACTGGATACATTCTACTGTTTATCCACACAAAGGTATGTTGAACAATAGTACACATATTGAGTATATAGGGATGCAGAAAGACAAGAAATTGCAGAGAAAAGACACTCACGATAACTCCAGAACTTGCACGAGAATTTCCACGTTTTTAAGTTGTCTTCAGTATCGGAGTAATCCAGTGGCAGCCATCTGTACATCCAAGGAATAACTGCAAATACGAACTGCTAATAACTAATTCGGTATGTTTGTAATGGGGCCAATTTGTCTAAATGTAAACAAATTTAGGCACAAAAAACTGTTCTCAGTTCTACACGTAATATCATGATATTAAAATAACAAAATATAATAAAAGTAATTTATTGCAGTATTCCTCGACATGATTGATAACAGTATTCATCAAATTGTTGTAACATAACTAACCAGTGTAGCTATATGAATCCCAGGTTGTTCAGCCAACATCCCACAGTGAACGATGAGCTTCCCAACCGCATCCTATCTGGAACGGTTCAGGTGAAACCCAACATCCGCAGGTTTCAGGGGTCCAGTGTGGAGTTTGATGATGGAAGTGTTGTTGAAGATGTCGACCTGGTGGTAGGTTTAAATATTTAAAGTGTGTGTTCACCCACACACACACAGCAGTATAGTTGGCCTGTAGTGTGTGACTGAGAGGAGTCCAACTGTCTTGCAGGTGTTTGCCACAGGTTACAGGTTTTCCTTTCCATTCCTGGCCTCACAAGTGGTCTCAGTGTCCGAGAACAAAGCCTCTCTGTACAAGTACGTGTTTCCTCCTGAGTTGGACCGCCCCACGCTGGCTATCATCGGTCTAGTGCAGCCACTGGGAGCCATTATACCCATCTCTGAGATGCAGGCCAGGTGGGCCACACGTGTCTTTAAAGGTAATACAGGAGCAATTTTTTATCATCACTGTCTTTTTACAGAAGTATTTTGAATTTAAAGAGTAACTAAACCCCCAAGTTTTGGCTGAATTGACCCTCAAAATACAAAATAAATGCCTCTTGATTGTGAGTGTGTGGATGACGCACTATGTTGTTGAATTTTACTCATTTAGCTGCAGGCTAGTTAGCTAGTTAGCTTGCTAATTCCACCATGCTTTCATGCTACCATTACAGAACACTAAACAGCACCACATGAACTGCTGGGCTTGGTCTACGTTACAAAGCACAATTATTGAGACTGACACTTAGAGAGCGAAACCTCAGCTCAAGTCTCCAAAACACATTTTCTGCTTTGCACCCAATTTGCAATTCAATATGGAACTTTTTGCAACAACCTGCATATAGGTACTCATAAATCAACCAGAACATGAAGAAGACGCCGTTGATTTAAAAGTAGACGTCCTCTTCTTTTACTTATCCTAACCTCTTGTATCTTATATTCAGGAGCACTGAAAGATGTCTGATAAACTAAGCATTGTGTTGCCATGCTTATGTATTGTTTAAATTTCACAATTTCACAATATTGCCATTCATAATGCCACAACCTTGGACCAATTGTCCAAACTCCTATATTGCTTCATTGTCAACTCCTCAATCAGAATGTCAGAACTATAAAAAGGACAAAGAAGAGAAAAGAATCCAGCAACATTAGTTGCATCTGGACATTTAGACGTAACAACATTTTCATTAACGCTACATAATTCTCTTCAAATCATACTATTTACATCAGTTTTTGAGTCTACACTGACCAATCACTATATTTTAGTTTCTTTCTCAAGAACTGAAAGACAAATGCGTAGCGGTGCAAAGGGTTTGAATGTTCAATGAGGAACAGGAGGCAGCAATAGCTTTTGGCTCAGAGATATGTTGCACTGATTTGTTGTCGTTTTGTTTAAACGGTATTATTTTAGTATAATTAAAGTACCCTTTCAATTAGATTATGCTAATTGAAAAAAAGTAGTTTGGTTTAGTTACTCTTTAAGAGGACAAACCACTATGTCTCAATGTCTCCTTTCAAACAGGCTGCATCAAGCTTCCCTCAGTGCCTTCCATGCTAAAAGATGTGCAATGCAAGCAGGAGACGATGGCTGAAAGGTACTGCAGTGGATTCACTCAACGTTTTTATTTCTTGCATGTTTTCGATTTAAAAGCCACCAAATCTTGTATTACACAACATGCTCTGTTTTCCAGGTATGTCGCCAGTCAGAGACACACCATCCAGGTTGACTACATCACCTACATGGATGAGATGGCAGAGCTGGTGGGAGTTCGACCCAGCTTGCTGAGGCTGCTGCTGACTGATCCCAGGCTGGGACTGAATGTGATACTCGGCCCCTGCACGCCGTACCAGTACCGTCTCAGAGGACCAGGGAAGTGGGCTGGAGCCCGTCAGGCCATCTTCACTCAGTGGGAGAGAGTGGCTCAACCCATGCAGACCAGGCCCTGTGATGATCCCAAACCCCAGAGATCATTGAAGTGGCCTCTGATTCTGGCAGCAGCTGCTGTGGGCTCGGCTGCCTACGTCAACAGGAACAACCTTCCAGCTTTCCTACAGGATCCCACTGCACTGTTTGACAAGATAAAAGGTTACTTGCCTGCGCAGTGATGTGCAAGTCGTGCTTGTTCCACTTGTAGATATGTGCTAATCTTTTAACACATTTATCATGCATGTTTTCAGTTTTTACACTATACTACCCCAACTCTGGAAATGAACAATATACTAAGTGAAACATTTTGGGGGTCTGTTTTTATGACGTTTTTAATTTGCATTAAATATATTATGGGGAAAAAGTAATTTCAACAATGGTAAAATATTTATTCAATTCAATTCATTTTTGTACAGCCCAAAATCACAAATTACAAATTTGCCTCAGAGGGCTTTACAATCTGTACACATACGACATCCTCTGTCCCGGAACCCTCACATCAGAACAGGAAGAACTCCCCCAAAAAAACCCTTTAACGGGGAAAAAAAGAGGAAGAGACCTGTGGGAGAGCAACAGAGAGGGAGCCCTCTCCCAGGATGGACAGAAGTGTAATAGATGTCATTTATTTATTTATTATTTGAGGCGACCGTGGCTCACTGGGTTAAGAGGGTTGTCTGGGAACCGGAAGGTCAACGGTTTGATCCTCGACTGTGACGTGTCACGTGTTGAAGTGTACCTGAGCAAGACACTGAACCCCCTGGCGCTTGTCGTTGGCAGCCCACTGCTCCCTATATACAAGGATGGGTCAAATGCAGAGACAAATTTCCCCCTTAAAGGGATCAATATAGTATAATAAATTAAA